GATACTGGAGCTTCGCAATTATTACCCCACAGAATGCAATAGTAGATACTTATCAAAGACTGGATTGTTACCTGTCGTTTTAGTTTTGCGATGATATTTACACTTTTGCTGATTTTACTACTGATGTGGTCAATATGATCATGCCAAGACAAAAAGCAATCAATAACTAATCCTAAGTATTTAATGTTGTACGACTGCTCAAGATAATGGTCGGCAATTTTTAGAGGAGGGTGTAAGTTAGAATTGACTTTTTGTCTCAGTTGGAAGACCAGGTATTTTGTTTTACTTAAATTCAGAGTTAATCTATTTGAACAAAGCCATTTATAAATTGCTGGCAATTTAGTCCAAGTTGGCTATGTTTTGTCAGAAAAAGTAGCGGCTTCAATAAGCTCCAGCTGATCAATAGCGTAACGTGTCTAGTGTTAGTGTGTCTATTTTTTTTTTTTTTTTTAACTCCCACATCTTAAACCTTGAAAGCAGTGAGTGGGGGTGGGGAGCTATAATGACCTATACTGGGAGGCATGGCCCAAAAGTGTACCTCTTTCAGGATAGACCATTCCAACCTTTTTTTTTTTCTTTTTTTCTATTTTTTTAGCTTTTGACATGGACAAGTTAAGGAAACCACCGGAAAGAACGTTTTAAAATTAGTAAAATTGCCAAGTTTTGAAAGCCTCAAAGTTTGGAAATTTTACAAGCGTTTGCCTGACGGTGGGGCCCGGCCACAAACTTGCTCTCCCCCTTCAACCCGCCCACGTAAAAACGTCTGTAAATTTTCGCAACTTTGCCAAGCAATATTTTCGCACGCCGGAGACTTATCACTTTCAAATTTGGCAATGTCACAACCATCGAAATTAAAATTAAAGTTAAAATTCATTGAATCAAATTAAACGCTACATGAAAATGACAAAAGACAGTCTGTTGGTACTAGATATGTGAACGGTCCCTTACCATGAATTGTCGCTAATAAGCCCCCGGATTATACATGTACATCTTCTGAAGGGGTATAAACGGAGGGGCTTTTAATATCCGAGGGGGCTTATTGATGGCTTGGAAAAAGCGCTTCGGAATAAGCTGTAGCATTGCTGATCAAAATAGATGTTTTTCCATTTACTGGTCTTTAATTAAGGCTACAAAACGTCATTATAAATCTAATTCAATTCAGTCCAAGCAAGAGAGGAGCTTATTATACCCTGTAGGGCTTATATTCGGTTGTATTTTTTTAGTTTACAACCATGACATGGGCCCATAACTGAAGAGGAAGGCTTATGAGTGCAATCATATAAGACGATTATCTGTCTGACGCGAACTTTCCACCGGATAACCCGTCTCAGGCGGATAAAAATAATCCGTCTCCAGTTTAAATACAGCCAACAGAGGGCATACAAAAGAGTATCCTTTGTGTCAAAAATGGTAAGTGCAGGGTTAAGGTGTTAGTCCTCGCGGCGAAGCCTCCCCATATAAAACTGTCTTGAGTAGCCTCCCCGGCTATTACGATCTAGAGTCAGTCAAAAAGAGAGTGCATCGTCTCCCTTTTCATTTTTGCTTTAGCAGACGTTACATAATAGGGACGTTAAGCACCGACAACCAAACGGACGACGACGACGCTTCGCAACCGAAGCAGACTGGGTCAAGGGTTTTGTTTTCGGTGGGGAAAAAGAAGTTTAAGCAGTTCAGCTTCTCAGACAGACAACGACTTTTTTCTTTGAATGCGAAGAACTTTGTCTTGTTATTGCATTCAAAGACCTCCCTAATTTGCATCCTATAAGCTATGACGATGGTTTAATTGACGATGGCAAATTTACTATTTTTTACGACCTGGATTATTTTATTTTGGAGGCTTTCTCATCGTCGTGCAGCTTTTGATTTTGTTTTGAATTTAAAATTGTATATCGATCTCCATCAGCTCTTGACTTGCAGGTTACGCTAAATTTCGGCTACTGAAGAGAATCAAGAGTTGCTGCAATGTTTTCTCATATTTGTCCTCCCTCAGGGCTCCTCATAGCCACGTCGCGTTCCAGAATCCACTTGAAAATAGTTGCCTTTACTAGCGGCTAAAAAGAACATGGAAAATTATTAAATTTTAGTACGATAAAAATGAACATTTATCCTATAGTAAAACCTAGAGTGCACGAGTAAGCATAGACCGTATTGGAACGAATATCATCTAATCTAAAAGGTTCGGAAGATAGCAGAGGAAAGCTTACTTGTCGTTCCGACTGGTTGTTCCGCCATCACTCATGTTTTCAAACAAACCGAACCTGAAAAATAAATTCAAGTTTGCAGGCGAAGAAATCGACAAAGTGCTTAACATTTGGATTCTGCTAATCCACAAAGAATATATTTCTACTTGTACTAGATGACAAGGGGGAGAAATAGTGATTTATACCCCAAAAGTATAGCTCTATACTTACGTTTTAGCGACGACGGCAAACTTCCCTGAATTTCGTCGTCGACGAAGGCTGAACGACGTTTTGACAACCTTACGCATGTCCAGAAGGTTCGCGCGGGAAAATTTCACTTCCGGTAGGCTTCGTCGTCCCATTTCGTCGTGGATACTTAAGTTCCAATTCTCGTCCCAGAGCCCGTCGTTTCTTGGTCACATGGTCTTGAAACGAGGGGCTCTGGAAGCAGCCGTTACCAGCTGTCCGTAAATTGCGGACATCCGGTCACGCATGTGCAGAAGTTACAAATATCACTGCTCATGCTCATGGCGGATTTTTGTCCCTCAGCTTAAGACACTGTTGGGTTGCAAAACTGAGACAATCAATCGGCAGATTATCGTCTGAATTTAATATGTGAGTTCACGTTTGGCGAAAACAAACACTGGGAAAGCAAGATCGCGGAGATCAAAGGTATCTTGTTCCATGTCCTACAAATGCTATCTTTAATATTTCAAAACGTCTTTTGAAACAAAACAATTCATGTGATGTGTCATTAAAGTGGACAGGAAAAAAAAAAAAATGCGTATATTCGTTTCACTCTACCTAGTTGTGTTTTTTTCCTGTGTTCTGATTTCGTTTGAGGTGTCGAATGGTAGGTTTTAATTTTGCCCATGAGCATTTGTGTACTACTGAAGACAAGACAACCGAAGGTTTACGTCAAAACAAATCAATATTAATCATGTTGCTGTCCCAAACAGGGTAAAAAAAAAAGTAAAAACTTTGTCCAGGAGAAGTGACAGGTTACTGGAGGGGGACCATAAATACCTGAGAAGTCTCTTACACTTCCATGGACTAGAAAACTGAGTGCATCAAATTCCGACCCTAACTGACAAATTCCAACCCTAACTGAAACTTGATTCATTCAGTTTCCTAACCCTAATCATAAAACTTAAGGGTCATTTGGTGTTTATGGTGGCCATCAGTGTTTGCGAAAGGGGACATTTATCTATTAGAGGTTTATCCTCCTAAAGATTTCAGTTATCATCTCCTAACTAAATACCATCATCAGTACCTCAAAGACGGAGTTGTAAACAATTCTGCTATCAAACTGAGAAAATCGTGAACGCCTGAAAATTTTCAGGAATGTTGATTGTGTAGTGACTAATCACCATAAAGTCTAGGACACATGAGCAAACCTCAAAGGGGTAACGGGTTTTAATTTTTTAATTTTTCTTTTTTTGCGAAAAAGGGGGGGGGGCTATATCTAAGGGCTATATAACTGGAAAAGAAAAAGCGATTCGAAACAAAATACTTTTTGCATTTACTGGTTTTTAACTAAGCTTTAAAATGTAATAGTGGAAGCTTAGGGAGGGCTTATAACAAGGAGGGCCATTTTTTCTTGTTTTCTTCTTTACTTCTCACTATCTGAATGCCTAGAGCGGGTTATCATAAGCTATATTGCTGTACTTTCTTATCTGGAACAGTTAAATGTAGAGTAATATGCACTTTATATAGACTGTATACTTTAGAAGACCCCCTTAAGAAGTAGACTTTGAGTATTACACAACCCAAAAGCATTTTCTTGGGTAGCTGCTCTCGTCATGTTTTGAAAGTGGAGTGCAAGGCCTGGTTTGAAATTGGGGATAGATTTTTGGATCAGACCTGAAATAGGATAGGGAAAATCACATAGTTTGGTCAAACTTTGGCAAGGTAAGAAGCATACTGCATGCAGGGCCAACCTGACCTGAATTTTGGGGGTACCGTACAGTCGTATTGAAGCTGAATGTGTTGCTTTGTAAAGTTAAAGTACAATATCTTCTCACAGCTGTAATTGTATAATTGTTTAGTTCACTTAAAATTGATTATTTTGACTTATAATAGGGTTTTCAATAAGGAAAGAGTTTTACCAGAACTGAAGCAATGGCTAGTGGAAGCAAGTTTTAATTTGGTCGTTATATGTCGATAATCAAGCAAACTAAGATGCCATACGCTTCAGTAAGCTAAGGCTGTGTGCAAGCTCAAGGAGGGGGAGGATAGCAGAGGTGGATAGGATTAGCTACTAAGCTAGAATATTACTGTTGCTCAAGCTATTATGTTACCCACCCTATCGAATGTGACATAATGAAAAATCCAGTTGTAATCATCATGAATAACCACTTTCTCCTGCAGTATGATGCAAAATAGACTACTCTAGGCTGTTGTTCACTTATTATTTTATTTATCAACACCCCAGTTGTCCATAACATTTCCAAAAACCGGATTGCCGCGATCGACGTAAATCAGACACAGATTTCATTTTGCAGTTCAAGAGGGCAGGAAGTAAAATGTTATGTGCCCTAGATTATATTTTTAATTTGCTCTGCGCATTCAATTACTTTAGCCAAAGAAAAAAATCGCATCTTCCGTTGCGTCCAAAGCCACTAGCTCGTTACAAATTAAGCCGAGTGTCTCTGGGTACAAGAAAGTTAAGGTCCCTATTAACAATCTAACACGACGAAAGTAACCACAAAAGCCTAAGAAGAAAATAACCAAAAACAATACTTTCGCACCTTCCGTCTATCTTTGTAGAATGCTATTCTAAGGAAATTAAAACAGCGCCAAAGTTAAAGACTCCTCTTATTAGGACTGGGGCCTAGATACTTCTTCAATCATTATCCGGGACACTGAATTCCACCCAGTGTCAGCATTACCCAGGGTCCAGCCACCACTACACTGTCCTACCCATAATTCCACTCTGACCGCCCCTTGTGGGATGTTTTCACAGTATCCCTCAAATGACCGATGATGCAGCAGATGAGGGTTCCCAGATGGCCAGTTGTTGTAAACAACAGCCTCAATCGTCATTGGTCCACTGCATTCATTTCCATTGAACTTGAAATACCATCGGTTACACTTTTCACTACTTCCATAGACCCCCATGTTTCCCTGGAATGAGACTTCGAGCGCTGAATTAGACTGCAGTTTGTTAAACGCACCGTCCTGGAATAAAAGCAAACAAATCAAACATATTGTAGTTAGGCGATCAACCGTGTGTAATGATTGAAACTAACAACTCCAGTCAAGATTACTTCCTAATGTTTAAAAACTCTGTAATAGCGTCAATTTTTGTTGTCCTTATCCATATGGCCAGGAATCATTTTATCACAAATGATGTGGGTTTGTCATTTTGTGTTTTGTTGTTGTTGTTGTTGTTGTTGTTGTTTTTGTTTGTTTTGTTTGTTTGTTTGCTTTTTTTTCTCGTTAAAAAAATTATTATTATTATTATTATTAATTAGTTATTTATGTAATGTGTTGGCAACTCTTCTTTGAAATATTTTAATTCAAAAAGGAATGGATTTCCTTAGGAGTGTGTTATGATTCTTATTTGTATTTACCTTAATCTTTCCGTTATTAGTGCTACTCTGTGATTTCCAAACACATTGTTTCCAGTTAGTTTGTGGTACTACACTTGCTTGACTTGCTTTGGCGCTTTCTCCTTTCTCTCCTTTGACCCCTTTTCTTCCTGGATTTCCCACAATACCTGGCTCTCCTTTCATTCCCAGAAGACCCTGTTGACCCTTCATTCCCTTAATTCCTCGGGGTCCACTCTTCCCAGGAGGCCCTTCGCGCCCCCTGTCTCCTCTTAAACCTTGCATTCCTCGCGATCCTTTATCACCAATTTGTCCTTTTACTCCTTCCCTTCCCTGGGGTCCGTGTGGGCCCGGGACGCCTGGCACTCCAGGTATACCATTTGATCCTGGAATACCAGGGAAACCCATCATAGATCGCTGAAATTAAAGTAAAAATGACTTTTAAGAGCGACTTTCTGTAAATACCATGGATAAGTGTGCAAGATGGAAAAATTGAAATCCCCCAAACTTTGTCACAACAAAGCCCTTTGCCGAAACTATTTTAGAAAATAAAGGACTCAGTTCTTGGACTTAATATTTTCCAAAATAATCAATTGTTTTAATTTTCACCTTCGAGAGGCGTTAAAACCACCGAAAAATGTGCTTGATACCCTCGCTTCGTGAATGAAAACGGAAACTAATACCATGACTTTTCTTATATTAAACAATTTCATTATCCTTCCTTTGTATCTAAAGGTTGTTATAATTTCAAAAGATCTGATTGTTTATTTTTTTTTTTAATTACCCCCTAGATCAGCATTATCGCAACCATCAATTTTGCCAATTTTCAACAGCGAAAATCCATTCCTGGTACATGGTTTTCATTAGACAATGGTATTCCAGAGAAAGAGCAATGCTTCCCCTATCAATCTGTGAAATAAAATTCTGGGGCATTTTAAACTGCGAGTTTTTTCAGCTGAAAACATTTACGAAACTTTTACCACATTTACGACCTTTGAACTTGCAGTGGTATCAAGTTGATGAATACAAGCGCGAACTTAGACAGCATTTAAAACTCTGGCGCAAATTCGCCCTTTTTCCGCCAGTTTAAACACCAAAACGATTCTAGACTGCACAGTGGTAAGTTTTCAAAAGGAAACGCGTTCTATTGTGCGGAAGTGAGCTATGAACTTCTTGACAACAACACTTTCCTTACATGCGTAAATGTTTACTTTTACCCCTTGTAACAGGTATCATTTACGTACAAAACGGCTTTAGTGTCGATAGCTATTCTCTAAAACGTTCTCATTTCTCATGAAACAAATCGTTATAGCTATAAAAAGGAAAACATTTTGACCTACCTCTCATTTTTTGACTTTTTTGACAACAGACCCGAATCCTTTACAGTGTTCTTCCTTTAGCGAAACGAGAGATTGCATGATAAAGAACTAAGAGACCCAGTTTATACCTCAAAGACAGATACCATTCTAAAAAACAAACTCACGCCACCTTCTGTAACTATAAAAGCGAAACGTGTAAGTAATAAAAATCTTTAGTTTCCTTGACTTATCCGCTAGAGTGACCCTTCAAATGTAACACTAAAAAAATATTTTTTTCGTCAAAAGACTATGAAGGGGTAGGCCGGCCCTTATACAGTGGAATCCTTATATAAAAAACGTCTATGGAACTAAGGTCTTTATATAAAGATCGATTTTCTGGACCCCAATAAAAGTAAAATATAACGTAAACCCTCTGTTAAGCCCCTCCCCTGAAATAAGCCCCCTCTCCCTAATAAGACCCCCCCCCCCCTTTTCTCGGATGACATTTCAGACTACGATTTAGCGCTTTTTTCAGCAGAAGTTTATGTAAAATAAGAGACTATAAGGGCCCACCACTTCATAGTCTCTTGTGGAAAACTAAGGATATTGATTATTTAAATGTTTCGCTTTTATAGCTACAGAAGGTGCCACGCGAGTTTCTTTTTCAGAATGAGATCTGTCTTCGCGTTTTTCCTACCCTGCGAACAGAGTCTCCTTCGATCTTCTTAGATAAGTCGGGCAGAGGAAGGAACCTCTGCCGACATCCTCGACAATTCATATTGAGCATGCTCCAAATTCAAATTTTTCTGCGACGTCAATCAAACCGTTACCGTAGCATCCACTGTGTTTGTCAGCAAATGTAAATGTTAGCGGGAACGTACCGGTTCGTTTTCACCCTTCCGTAGCCGTGTTTCCTCTGGATCTGGAAGCTCTATAGGAACAATTTCACCTTTGGCATCTAAACTTGCCATGTTTCAGTGTAAAGAAGATAAAAAAATCTTATAGCTAAAGTAAAACGACCCCAAACTTACGGTGCTTTTCAAAAACAAAGCATCTAACCTTGAAACACAGAAACACACAAAACGAATCGAAATCCACCAATCACAAATCACGAACGACGAACTTGTGTCTCCTAAGAGGTTCGCTAAGATGTATAAAAGGCGAGAAAGCGAAGAAAGCGCCGCTTCTCGAGATTTTGATTGACGTCGTAGAAAAATACGAATTATAAAGACGTTTTTGGCATCGCAAGTCGGGTGTTATCCACAAAAAGCTGTAAAAGCATCGATCATTTAAATGCAACATGGATTCTGTAGCCTCATGATCTTATTTTGAATTAATGTTATGGCAAACACAGAAGAATCAGCATAGACATTATTTCTTAAATATTTTTATTCAAAACCCATTTGTTTATCCTTCCAAAAACTTCGCGTAACACTTACTGGATTGTGGATCCGTTCACGCAAGTTAAATCGGCTAAGTACATGGTTAAATCCAAAACAAAATCCATCTCGAATCTGGGTACATTTTCCAATTTTCTAAAACTGAACGTTCAATCTATAATTTTATCAAAATTCCCGCATGAAATTGAAGCGGCAGCTATTTCTTTTTCTATGGACCGTGGGCGCAGAAAGAGTCAGCAAAATTCCAGAATATGCGTGCGTGCACAGATAAAACCGGTTTTTTCCAGTATAAAACTTGTCTGACTCATCCAAAAAGCTGGAGGATCGGCAGATCAAAGGAACTTGAAGATGTCGGCAGAGTCGCTTCCTCTTTCCCGACTTATCTAGGTAAGGTTGAAGCGACTCTGCTAGCAGGGTACTGTTTTCCTGGGTCTCAAAGTTCTTTGTCAGGCAATCTCGTTTCGCTTAAGGGAGTAAAGGATTCGGGTCCGTTGTCAAATAATGTGAGGTAGGTCAAAGTGTTTTCCTTTTTTTAAAACTGTAACGATTGGGTTCATGAGAAATGAGAGCATTTTAAAGAATAGCTACCGACACTAAAGCAGTTTCGACATAAATGATTACTGTTACAAATACGGCAAAAGTAAACAAATACGCACGTAAGGGAAGTGTTGTAGTCAAGAAGTTCATAGCTCACTTCCGCGCAATAAAGTTGTTTTTCCTTTTGAAAAGTTACCACTGTGAAATCTAAAATCATTTCTGGTGTTTAAACTGGCGGAAAAGGGGCGAATTTCCGCCAGAGTTTCGAATGCTGTGTAAAAAGTTCCTGCTTGTGTTCATCAAAAACACTGCAAGTTCAAAGGTCGTAAATCACGCGAGTTTCGTAAATGTTTTCAGCTGTAAAAACTCGCAGTTTAAATTGCCCCAGAATTTTATTTCACAGATTGATAGGGGAAGCATTGCTCTTTCTCTGGAATACCATTTTTCTAATGAAAATCCATGTACCAGGAATAATTAAGATTATAATTCCGTTCATACACGCCCATAGCTCTCTTGCAAACAATGATTCCGCACCAAAATAAACAAACTCTATACCCGCCGGTCGTCTCCCTTGTTTTCGAGGCACGGAATGGACCTTGGACATCATAATCCTATTTAAAGCGTTATCTCACCTCGAATGGACTTGGTTGGAATCAGTAAAAGCTAACAATAGACAGGCTTAAGGTTTTCGAGGAAAAATCATACTGAAGCGAGGACTTTTAAATAAACTGCCATACAATTTTAACGGGTACTATTTAGTAAGTGATCATAACGACGTGAGAGTAATAAAACAGTTTCTTGGGGCACCTAATCTACGGCTCAGTGCTCCTTTTTATATCTTTATGCATTTCTTACCTGGCATAAGTCTTTTAACTTTGAGGCGTTTTGTTGCTGAGGTGAGGTGGTTGTTCCCAGTGAGCTGCCAAAAAAGGAGAGAGTCAGGAAAACAGCGAAATACTGAACCATGGCTGTGAGAATAGAACGAAAACACAGCGTTTTCTGAAATCAGTGCTACGTGCTCATCATTTTATAGCAAATATTTTAAGTAAATCCTCTTAGTTCCGGTATATCGTTTATTTGTTTTTTTGCTTGTTTCTTTTTCCTTTTATGGCAATTTTTTTGCATCTTCTTATTCTCTGTTTATACCCACTTCCGGGTGCTGAAACAGGGTCAAAAGATGAACATTCCAAAAATAAATGGCAGAACATAATTTTTTAAAGCAACAAAGTTTTATGCATGCTATCACGACTTTGTTTTTCTAACGGTACCCGATGCCTTTCCTATTTAGAGCGCCAAAAGTAGAACTTTGGCTTCAGTCCAAGTTGGCTATGTAATGTCGGAAAAGTAGCGGCTCCATTAAGCTCCAGCTAAACAAGCTTTAACTTGTCTGTTGTTAGACAGTGTGTTTATTTTTAAACCCCCATATCTTATACATTGAAGGGGGGAGGGGGGGGGGGTGAGTTGGGGAGGGGGGCTCCCCATATAAACCTATACGGGGAAGTGCTTCCCTAATGCTTCCCTAAAGGGTACCTCTTACAATTCGGTATAGACTATTTCACGTTACTTTCTTTCTGTCTACTTTTTATATTGAGAACGCCTTAAAATGAGTAACATTGCCAATTTTTGAAAGTGATTGTTGAAAACTGACGGAGATATAAGTCCTCACAGTCGCCAAATTTTACAGACGTTTGTATGATGGGGGCCGGCACAAACTTGCTTCCCCTCCCCCCCTCCCTCCCTCCCTCCCTCCCTCCCCCCCCCCACCACGTACAAAGCGTTGTAGATTTTCACAACTTTGCTGAGCTATATCTCTGCACGCTTAAGACGTATCGCTTTTACATTTGGCAATTTTACAGCCACTTAAACTACACTTAAATTAAATTTAAAGGCTACATGAAAACGACAAGAAGACTTTCTGTTAGTGCTAGTTATGTGTGAGAGGTACAAAATATATTTGAGTGTAAAACTAACATAGCAGTAGGGGAACACTAAATGGGGACACTTTGAATCAAAGTAAGCAACTATTGTAGCAATTCAAATCAAATTAATAAAACTATTTACAAGTGTACCATTATTGACCAGAGACCGAATGTAAAATTTAAAACATTATTACACGTGTATATTAATATATTATTACCAAATTTAAAAAAAAAAAAGCTATTCACAAGTGCGTATGAGCTTCGCAAAAAAAAAAGAAATAGTAGTGTGTTTATTACGCACTATATGAGTGCAATTTGAGCACTGAGCGTCAGCAAGCAAGGAATTTAGGTGAAGCTGTCGAATATGCTGCTTGAACACAAATAGTTTAGGAAGGTCCCTGATCCTTTTAGGCAGTAGAATCCTTACCTTAGGGCCAATATACGTTATAGAAGCCTTCCGCCGTGTGTCATCGTATTTAATCAAGGTATTGTTCCTCAGTAGATATTTGGTGTCTGTCCTCTGGAAAAGGTCAGCAATGTGTTTAGGACAAATATTATTCTTAACCTTGTAGATCTGACGGAACTTGCTAAAACGTGGCTAAAGAAATTTCAAGGGCATTTTAACAATTTGACATCTAAGTTGAATGGAAAACAGTGAAAAGTCATTAGCTAAGGCTCAACAATCACAACTTTATTGCTGGCAATTACAGACGGTAAATTTCTCTCCCAGAAGTAACATGCAGGACTTTGCGATGAAGTAAACAACATTGGAAACGTCGGGAAAGTATTTACTTTTTAGTCAGTTAAACCATGAGACCCATAGCTAAGTCACTGCCGAAAACACTAGATTTAAAATCTACAATATTTGAGCACAGAATAGGCTTTCTAAGACAAAATCACCTGCACGTCTAAACACTCACGAAGCGTTTTTATGCTTGGCACAAAGTTTTCTGTTAACACTAGCTCAACCCTATACCTGAGTTTTGTCTGTCAACACCTTCAGTAAATCACGACTTTCGCGGCAACACAACACTTCTGAGAGGCACTCATGATATTTCCACGCTTAACACAGGCGAAACATTTGTCAAATTACTCCGTAAGACTCTCGCTTTCTCTATATAAATCGTCGCATGGAAACTTCGATTCATACAGTCGATTTATTCAAGATCCCAGATGTAAACCAGCTGTTGAAAAGGAGGCATAGGGCCCCCGCCTTCAAAACAATTTTTAACAAAGAATTTGGCCTGGTCAGAAATCAGCATCAATTTCTATCTCGCCGAATAAATTTCATCCCTAGAACCTACATTGTGAGGCCAAAGACTTGCTACTGCCAAAAACAAAGCTCCCAAGATCCAATCTTTCCGTCTCATGCCCGGGATCAGTCTTTCACCCGTGTAGCCCGAAATGAGACGAAATACGAGAAGGTATTGGACGCGGTAGACTTTGCCAGTCGTGATAATTCATAAGGAAAAATTTGCTCAAGGCACCCCAAAAAAACTCTACAACAACCCACATGAGAGCCAAGTTCATTTGATACGATACAGTGAGAATTATCGGAAGTTATGAAAAACGTCTTTTGGGTGGGGGGTGGGGCAAGAGGGGGTGGTAGGTTTATAGCCACTGAGAAACTCATCAAATTCCATCAACTGCATCCTATTCAGTAAATAGTCGGTACAAATTAGATAAATTAAAAGTAACAATAAAAATAAAAAAAGAAAAAGAAAGAAACTTCATGTATTTAATACCTTCTCTGAACCGTGTGCTTTACACATGTTACATTTTTTATATTTTTCTATATTTGTCAGTACATGCTCTTCTTAGAAAGTGAAACAGCGCCCAAGAGTAATCGAGACTCCCCCATTAGGACAGGGGCCTAGATACTTCTTCAATCATTATCCGGGACACTGAACTCCACCCGGTGCTAGCATAACCCAGGGTATCACCGCCACTACACTGTCCTACCCATAATTCCACTGTAACCGTGCCTTGTGGGATGTTTTCACAGTACCCCTCAGATGACCGATGACTATGCAGATTATGATTTTTTTGAGCATAAGTATTCCAGACCCTCATGTTTCCCTGGAATGCAACTCTGAGTACTGAGCTAGAATGTGGTTTGTTAAACGCACAGTCCTGGAATATGATCAAACGTGCCTTACTGAGTCGATCGACAGGGTAATGATCGATGTCAGAGTATATGGGACAGAGAATTAAGGAATCTTATTGCGTTGAATGGGATATATGAATCTCATTCAAGTTACATGTATTTTTAGACCTTGTAACTAAACGGAAGTCTGATTCCTGGAAAATCCGCATATCTCAATCGATTGTTTGAAACGCCATCGAGTTCACACGCGACTGCCTCAAAGCAAACAATGTAGAATATTTTAATGGCGACACATCAAGAGAATATAATACCCCATTATTATTTCTTGACAATAAAATTCAATGAAATTGAGAATGTCTCTGGAAACCAACCCCCCATGAATTTCAAGCGTTTTTAAATGTTCTGTTACGTAGGTTTCAGACTGGCTTCCGCAAATTCCACTCTACCGAGACCGCCCTTTTATCCGCCTAGTTGATCAGCTGCTCTTCGACTTGGACAGGAACAGAGCATCGGGGCTTGTGTTTATTGACTATAAAAAGGCTTTTGACCTCATAGACAACGGTCTGCTCTTAGAGAAATTGAAAGCCTATGGGGTACGTGATAACGAGCTGGACTTACTACGCAGTTATCTAAGTGGACGCACACAGTATGTACACACAGGAGCCCATCAAATGGAGCCTCCATCTCCCATACAATTAGAAATAATTAGAATCTAATTATGCATCTAATTAGAAATAATAAACTGGCAGCACATCAGAGCGGAAATAGAAAGCTTCACTCGACAGAAACAGCTCTGTTGTACGTTACGGATCAGTTGCTCCAGGCTATGGATAGCAAGAAAGTTTCCATCAAGGTCTTATTAGATATGTCTAAAGCATTTGATAGTATTCGACACGACAACTTGTTATCCAAGCTACAATATCTCGATTTTTCCCAGGGTGCCTTGGATTGGTTTCAGAGTTACTTTTCTAACCGACAACAGTGCGTTCGAATTGGCGACGCAGTTTCTAAAGTACTCCCACTTGAGTTCGGAGTTCCGCAAGGCTCTATTTTAGGTCCGTTTTTGTTTACAATCTATGTTAACGACCTCCTTTCTGTTGCTAAACGTTGTCTATCTGCCTCCTATGTTGATGACTGTAAATTGTATTTGTCCTTTTCACCTGCCGAATTACCCACGTCCATCCTCGCCTTAAACGAAGATCTTACGAGAATATCTCAGTGGTGCTGTAAAAACTCTCTTTTGATTAATCCGGACAAAACTAAGGTTCTAGCTGTTGGATTACCACAACTTTTAAAGAAACTGTCATCATTCAGTATAACACTTTTTGACAAGGAAATAACACCTGTGCCTGTCGTTAAGGACTTGGGTGTTCTTCTCGACACACGCCTCAGTTATAACCAACATATCACTGAGA